GGGGAAATTGAAGCCAGTGCATTTTAGTTTTTCTGAGTTATGAGTAGAAATACTCAACACTGAACGTTGGGCTATATATCAAATTGAAGCTATTGAAAAACGCTATTTGATGTAGAAATTTCAAGACTTTAGCTAAAAGGGAAATATTGAAAAACTACAAACATAATTACCGATAATTTGCCGTTTTGCAGTTGTTTTTATATTTTTTTAATATTTTTCTTTTCGCTGAAGTCTTGAAATTTCCACACCGAATAGCAATTTTCAATAGCTTCAATTTGATATATTGCCCGACGTTTGGGGTCAAGTATTTCTGCTCATAACTCAGAAAAACTATTTTGGCTTCATCAAATCATAGGCCTTCATCATAGCAGTTAGCCTTCCAGTCTATTTATAGTTCAATGGCGCTGCCTCGTACCCAGGCCGCCAGGCGATTGAAATATAATAGGGATATATACGGTACTATTTAGGGATACATGAAGTATTCAGGCAGTCTTCCCATCAGCCCCTTCCCCCTTCTCTCGCTACTACAATACGTCGTGTAAACTCATCATACGCGCAACGCTGTTTTTTACAAAGAGACGCCTGGGTACGAGGCAGGACCATGCGTGAAAAGTATTCAAACAAAATAGGAAAATGAGAACATTGCATGCAATTGTGTTATTTGTGATAATCGACTCATTCGGGCCTCCAATCAATGACAGTCCCAATGCGATCATAAGAAAGCTAATTTCTGGAGCGATTGCAGAATACCCGTCCACTTTTGAAGACCTCACCTGTTATCATGATACGATGATACGAAGTGAAAATGATTACGTAATAACTATATATTTGCGCTGCTATAAAAGTCTGGGTAAGCTATATTTTTGGCTGATACGATGATACGAAGTGAAAAGGAGTCCGTAATAACTATATAACTGAGCTATTATAAAAGTCTGGGTAAGCTATATTTTTGGCTGATACGATGATACGATGATACGAAGTGAAAATGATTACGTAATAACTATATATTTGCGCTGCTATAAAAGTCTGGGTAAGCTATATTTTTGGCTGATACGATGATACGAAGTGAAAAGGAGTCCGTAATAACTATATAACTGAGCTATTATAAAAGTCTGGGTAAGCTATATTTTTGGCTGATACGATGATACGATGATACGAAGTGAAAATGATTACGTAATAACTATATATTTGCGCTACTATAAAAGTCTGGGTAAGCTATATTTTTGGCTGATACGATGATACGATGATACGAAGTGAAAATGATTACGTAATAACTATATATTGCGCTATTATAAAAGTCTGGGTAAGCTATATTTTTGGATTTATAAATAATTAGATAAGGCCCACGGGTAAGGTTTTCAAAGAACGAGACAAAGAGATATACATGTCTTTCAAAGAACGAGGCAAACACATATACTGTATACGTGCTATTTCACTTCGTATCATCGTATCATCTTATCACGCAATAATATAGGTTACCCAGGCTTTTATTATTGCGCGGTCATATAGTTATTACGTAATCATTCTCACTTCGTATCATCGTATCATGTGGTGGTATCCCACCTTCAAAAGTGGACGGGTATTCTGCAATTTAGCCTAATAAATTTGGCTTCGGCCTATTTAAACAAAATGGTCGCTCATACTCTTAAAGTTTATATAGCGATCATTCAGAGGGCTGTGTTCATCACTTGGACCCCGGGTATATTTCAGGTCTGTATCGCCAAGCAGGGCATTGACTACCCACCTGTTCAAAAGGTCCACACCAGGTAGAGATGTAAATAATTTCATTGCTGTCTCTTTACCAACTCCAGGAACACCGGCAGGAAGGTAATCACAGCCAAGCAACAAAGCAAGAGCGATCATATTTCTTCGGGTCAAACCTAAAATTGAGAGAGGCAAAAATGAGCAATGAAAAACCCTTTCCTACTAATTCTCTTCAAGATTGATCTTGAAAGGGATATGAATTCGCAATTATTCCTGGGGTTTCCCATACATTCACATGAAACGATTTCCTGTATGGAAAAAAATTACAACATTTTCTCTGCCACGTTATTCCTTTACATGCTCATTGCTTAAAATTTCCTTTATTCGGCTTTACAGTCAAAATACAAGGATTACAAGAACTTCCCACTTCCGCTTCTGTAATCTGTTTACATTTTCTGTAATTTGTTCTGTATTACTGTAATGGTTACCGATTTATAGACAAATACGGTACGTCCTGTAAAGACGTGTTAGCATGTACCTTAATGACATAGTAATCTAATGGCGCAATCGTCAGAGAAAACGCCTTTCACTTCTGAGATTGTGAGCGTGATTCTTGCTGCGGACTCATGACACATGTCAAAGCTGACAATATATATATACTTGTCTTAAACAGAGGGGGCTTTCGTCGACGATGCATAAAAACAGTGCAGGCTCATGAGCTTTTTCCCGCAAATTTTGCTTTTCGATGTTTGGCTTACAATTTCTAAGGATGTTGAAGTTTACAGCATCGTGATTCACTGGTTTTTGAAAGCATCTGGGGTTTTTTTTTGTTGGAAGTTATAGACTAACTCTTCAACCTAATGACTCATGTTTTTAAAGGGCAATTGCTAGATAGTATACTTCAAAATAAGGTTTCCGTTTTTATATCAATTTTTAAAATAAGTTCCGGTTAGGTTAGGGTTTAGGTTAGAGTTAGAATAGGGTTAGGGCGAGGGTTAGTATTAGGGTTTAGTTTTGTGTTAGGATAGTTTTTTGTACGTTATAAAGACGGAAACCTTATTTTGAAGTATACTATCTAGCGATCACCGTTTGTAAGGAAAGCAATTGAAAGGAAAACTTATATTTTCATACGAAGAAGATGAGTGGCGATATTTATGTTGGACTGTTTTGAGCAGATGCTTCGAAGAACATGATATGATCGGACCTTGTTTGGCCGATTTCTAGTTTATATTGTAGAACGGGTTCCTAGTGATTTAAATTAATTGTCTATCTTCTAACGGGTAGTAATAAGCGCGACTCCTTTTTGTTGATGGATGTTGAAATCATTTTAGACTTTTCTTCATATACAACAAGTACACTACCGAGTACTGAATCACTGTTTGCAAAGAAACTAGCCTATATCACCTCCATAATTCCAGCTTATTTTTAAAGTCAAATAGTTTCTCCATGGGTAAAAGTAGTTTTTATGGAGTTAAAAATAGGGCAAGTACGAATTTAAAGAAGGTCAATTTGCACTTGTATATCTCACTTCGAAAAAGATATACATATAAAACAGGTATATTTGTACGGCGAAATTAAACTGCTGCAACAAAGTTTTTATTTCTACTTTCACGTTCTTATTCCAAAGCGAACACTTCTAAGTCGGAAATGCCTAAAATTGTGAGAGTAGAAACACTAAAGAAACAAGAAAACGACTTCATAACACGAGTATAGTTTTGTATGGTAAAGTATCTGATGGATATATTTTGCAGTCTGTTCTTTCAGAAATTTCAGCTACATGGCTAGTGAAGATGTAACTAAAAAAACTCAACAGGTGGCACGACCGTACTCTATCGTAGTGCATGTACATTCATTGTTGGTAAAAAGCTAATTTAGTGATAATTTAATACTTACAATTACCAATTATTGTTAGCAGTATCAATTACTGTTAATTTATAATTTCTGCAAAGTTTGTGTTCTGTAGTTAATGAAACATTTCTGGGAAGTTGATTCCCAAGTTCTGATACTTTTCCCGCTTCTACCATGCTGCATTTACTTACCCAAGACGCTTTCAACTTCCTCCAGTCTGAAAACCTGCAAGTTATCGGTGGGATGCTAAAGCCAAAACAAAAGAAGAAAATAAAACTCCGAGTTGCATCCCAAACCAACATACTTATAACTGTACTATAGAAGAACATATTACAGTGGCCAGTTAACTAGACTGCACACTAGATTACAAATTAAGTTTCAATCCTTAAAACCAAGGGCAGGCGTCACACGTACAACAAACAATCGTTAGTTTTCCCCGCTTTCGACCCACGCAAGTCTATCCTTCTGCCCATGCACATACAACTTTGCCCATCTAACAATAATAATTTGCTTTTAATCCATCAAAACAAATAAATGCATGTAAGACTTAGGTCGCTATTATATGTAACTATTCACTGATATCAGATTTTAATTGTTCTATATACTGTAAAATTACCAATAAAATGTCGGTGATAGACGTTACATGAAATATACACAATATTTTCTACCACATACTTTTAGATGTATTTTGCCATCAGATATACAAAGATCCGATACCCGTTGCGAACACAATCAATAACCGGTTTAATTAAAACTGTCTGTACCATGCAGTGTAGGTAGTACCAATGTAGAAATGCTGTGCTGAGTGGTTATATTACTACCTTAAAAAATAAGCAGAAACTCGACGTTTCGAGCGAAACGTCGAGTTTCCGTCGAGCCTTCGCTCGAAACGTCGAGTTTCTGCTTATTTTTTAAGGTAGTAATATAACCACTCAGCACAGCGGTTTAATTAAGCCTACTGTATGTAGACAAAGTGACAAACTCGAAAGTATCATTTACACTAAATCGACAATGAAAGACACTCTTAAGTCTTACTACATTATAAAAACACTCTCAGGTCTCAAAAAATTTCCTGGTTAATCTGAAATTAACACTGTTTGGGGTAACTTTATGTTCCTAGCCATTTTAATATGCCATATTCCTGAATGGTTAATTTGATCATGACTAATTTAATGGCACAGTCAGCCTTTTGAATGATGGTTTTTAAGGTGCATTTCAGCTCTTTTAATTGAAAAAACTAACTAGGAAAATCAATTAAGCATAATTCAAGATCAGCAAACTTAATGTTTTTAACATTTTAAAACATTTTTATTGTTAAAAACATTGAGTTTACTGATCTTGAATTATGCATAATTGATTTTCCTAGTTAGTTTTTTCAAATAAAACGGCTGAACTGTGCCTTTAACTAGGATTCCTGGTGGATTATTAACCAGGCATTCTCCAGCTAACATTATCTGGTTAATTTTAGGTGGACTATTAACCAAGAATGGATCAACCTCGAAAGATGTTAGTAACAGGACTACACAGGGCGACTAAACTTTACTCATGCAACTCAAAAGGTCCAAAATACGTTTCTTTCTTTGACTTGCATGATTGTAAGCCCTCGACAAAAATAAGTGCTTGAGGCGTGGTCGGGCTTAAATAAAAAGATTAACTCGAAAAGCTCACTTGACATGTAATTGCCAAATTGTCTATTTGCATCTTAAAAAATATAAAAACAAAATATATCAAACCTTGCTTGAAGAAATATTAAAATCTTTATAAACAACTTTTGCTCCATAAAGAAAAACATCACCATCATCAGTCAAAACACCATCAGCATACTTAAGAAGAAAAAATATTAATTCCATGAAATAATTACCATACAGTAAAATCATGTCAGCATGCACTGATAACACATGCCTTCTCTCACAGAAATTCCCAATAAGATCCTGTAGGATCCTAAATAGGATCCTGATATGAACAAGATCCTGATAATTTCTGTGAGGATCATAACATTCCAAGATCCAAATTAAGATCCTGGCAAGATCCTAACACTAAAGGCGGATCTCCCACTAGACGATTTTTGAGACGGTCGTGAAAACAGTTCGCGACGACACATGCGCAATTGAAAAAAAATGTTCGAAGAGCGATCGTCCACACCCAATTCTCCTAGATAATTATTAAATCTATTTGAAAACACAATCGATCGAATCGATGCTGAAAACTCTGAATTATACTTTCTTGGAGACTTAAATTGTAATTTAACTGCACAAATCTCTGATGCAAACACCTCTGATTTGTTAAATATCCTAGACACTTATGGTTTGACACAATTAATCTCTGAACCAACTAGAATAACACCAGTTTCACAAACCTTAATTGACCTATGCATTACTAATTACCCAGAGAAAGTGACCTCTTCCGGTGTCCTCTCGCTGGGTGTAAGTGACCATTCACTTGTCTATATGATTCGCAAATCTGGTTACCCAAAGACAGCAGGAAGGACCATTAAAAGGAGAGATTTTAAACACTTTAATGAGACAAACTTCCTTGATGGTCTTTCCCAGCTAAATTGGGATGTTATTCAAAATTATGATGATCCAAACGACATGTGGAGAGTTTGGGTTGACATGTTGATGAACGTAGTTAATAAACATGCCCCAATAAGGGAGACTAGAATTGGTAAAAAAAGATCCCCTTGGATCACTCCTAATATACTACAACAAATGCGTTCAAGAGATTATTTTAAAAAGAAGTTTGAAACCCTAAAGACATTTCTACTTGGAATTTATATAAGAAAGCTAGGAACGAAGTGAACAACAATCTGAAACAATTGAAACGTGACTATTTCAGTACCAATCTTGACTTAGCAAAAAATGACCCGAAGAAAACCTGGAATCTTATAAATCAACTTAGTTCTCGTAATGTTAGCAAACGCTCCACTGTTAATAGGGTTGACTTTAATGGTGCAGAAGTAACCGATACGCATGAAATAGCTGAGGCATTTAACACACATTTTACCGAGATAGGTGAAAACCTGGCTAAAAGTATTCCTATAACTGATGTCAACCCAATATCTTATATTAACTCTACAAATAGTGTGTTTTCCTTAAAGACAATTGAGGTTAACTATGTTAAAGACTTGCTTGGAAGGATAAACACACAAAAAGCTAGTGGTCCCGAAAACATTCCATGCAAATTACTAAAGTTAGCTAGGGATGTTGTATCCCCTTCCCTGACGCATATATTTAACAAATCACTTTGCACTAGCATATACCCAAAAGAATGGAAAATCGCCAATGTCACACCTATCCATAAAGATGGTGCCAAACACGACCTCAACAATTATCGTCCAATCTCAATTATTTCAGCCGTTGCAAAATAATTTGAAAGTATTATTCACGACCAATTTGATTACTATTTAACGTGCAATAAATTACTGACTAAATGTCAGTCTGGATTCCGAACAATGCACAGTACGGTCATTGCACTGCTCAAAACAACGAACAGGTGGTCGATAAATATCGACAATGGACTACTCAATGGTGTAGTTTTTATCGACTTAAAAAAAGCTTTCGATACTATTGATCACGCAATTCTTCTGGATAAACTTGCTCAATACGGGGTTGATGAAAACGCATTAACATGGTTCCACTCTTATCTAACCGATCGTACACAAAGATGTTGTGTAAATGGACATTTATCTAGTAATCGACCAATCACTTACGGTGTCTCCCAAGGTTCAATAATAGGTCCCGTTTTATTCTTGTTCTATATCAATGACTTGCCAAACTGTCTGAACAATGGCTTATCGAGTATGTACGCGGATGACACAAATATTAGCTTTCAAAGCTCTAATCTTCCTGATCTTGAAGAAATTATGAACACCGAGCTGAGTAGCTTAAACACCTGGCTCAATGCGAACAGATTAAGCTTAAATATTACTAAAACTGAATTCATGGTCATTGGCTCTCGACAGAGGCTGATGTACCATGATGTTAACAATCTTAATATATGCGTAGATAACACTCAAATTAAAAGAGTACAGTACGCGAAATCCTTAGGTGTAACAATTGATGAAAATTTAACTTGGAAGAACCATATTGATACAATCTGTAAAAAAGTATCCTCAGGAATAGGTGCCCTCAAACGAGTGAGGCGATTTGTAAACAGGGAAATTGCAGTGAAAGCGTACAAAGGCTTAATTCAGCCTTACCTTAATTACTAATGCCCGGTTTGGGACGGTATCGGCATCGAGCTGAGCAGTAAGTTACAAAAGTTACAAAACCGTGCTGCTCGTATGATCACGGAAAGCACATATGAAAACTCCTCGAATTCTTTACTGGAGGAGCTAAACTGGCACCAGTTATCTCTTAATCGCAAAAAGCATAAAGCAATTCTTATGTATAAAACTATAAACAAGAGGGTACTGGAATATCTACAAGACATATTTATTTCGCGATCTTGTCCTTACAGATTGAGAAACAATGAAAATACATTATTTGTCCCTAAGCCACATACAAATTATCTAAAGCGCTCACTCAGCTACGATGGAGCTGTTTTATGGAATAGTTTACCAACTGAACTTCGTTCGGCACAATCTCTTAGTTCTTTTAAACGAGGTCTAGAATGTTGGTTAGCTTAGACTCACACACGGCAATCATGTAAATCAGTACTGTTCTGTCTTTTGTAAATAACATTTGTATTTTTTTCCTTTTCCTTCTTTTTCTATACTTTATATACATCTATATTATGTAAATTTTTACTGATGATTCTACCGTGTCAAAATAAAGTTTATAATAATAATAATAATAATAACCGCCAAATTTTTAACCAATGAGATTCCGCGCTTTTTTCTTGCTGCTGGTACATATCCACCTCTCTAAATCGTCGCGAATTCTTATGATGATCGTCATAAAAATCGTCTAAAAAATCGTCTAGTGGAGATCCGCCCTAAAGAATTTTGCAGGATTTCAATACTATAGTTCCTAAACACGAACCTGCTAGAATCGTCAAATCTATTCGATTAGGATTGTAAAATTATCTGTCCAGAAAAAGGTCAAGGATGTTCTAATAAAACAAGATTCTGAGTAGGATTCAATAAATAAATCTAGAATCCTTTTTGATAACAGGATCCTGAGCAGGATCTTATGAAGAAAATCTAGGATCTTATTACTGTCATAATTAACAAGAACCTCAGATTTATCTAGTGAGCACAAAATCGGCTTGAACGCATGCTTTAAATAAAAATATTTTATACAGTTTACATTTCATCGGATTTCTTTGCCCAAATTTGCCTCGGTGATTCTTAAATTCTTAGTGGTACTGTAACTTCTGGTACCACAGAAATATTTACAAAATCACTAAATTGTATCAACAGTCTAGAGTATCACCTTCTACAAAAACTCGGTGCTGAATGCTTGAGCAGTTTATATATTTTTATTGGAATCTTTACAACAACCCAATGTAATGGCAGTTTGGCATAACTGGAAGCTACTGGAACCGTGCATTTGGCTAGTCTGTGCATGCAATCGGCATATGCACGCCCTGAATATTTAAAAACACTCCCAAAATCTAAAATCCATGATAAGGGCCTGACCAAACCCCTTAAGGTGATTCATCAGTAATTTTTCTGGAAATGAGAATTTGCTGAAACTTCCCAGGGGTGAAATTTATGATAACCTCATAGTAAAAACAGAAAAAAAGGTTAGGGTCACCGAAGATATGACAAGTGCAATATGGTTTAGTGCAAGTGCAATGTGGTTTAGTATGGGTTTAGTGCTAGTTGCACATCCCTAACCAGAGTTCTGTCATTTTTGAAGGTATATTTCCGGAAGCACGCCTATACTCAATGCAGAGTGTTTTTCTCTTTGCCCTTACTCTTTTTTTATCACTTTACATTGCAGTTCGACTACATATATTATAGCTAGAATTTGTTATTAGATATGCGCAATAAAAGTGCGTAATGCAAAAGTGATGAACCGCCTTACAGCAAGAGCAGGATCTACGGGCGGAGGAATACTTTTTGCAAAACATTAGGCAAAGGTTTTTGAACAGATTTATTAATAACTGCAGCGAATCCATCGTACGTTGCCAGCTTTAACAAAGTATTCGACCTTTCCAAAAGCTATTAATCTGCCTTCTTGAAACTGCGTGAAGAAGAAGCGCACAGATTTCTTCTTTCGGAAATAGTGAATACTGTGATAATCTTGACCATCTTTTTGAGCAACCACAGCTCCTTTGAGGATAGGATGTTGAATCACAGGAATCTCATATTAGAAAATGGAATAAATTTCTTGATTCCTTTGTTAAGCTCTAGTTCGCTTCTAGAATGTGCAGGCCTCAAAATCTTTAACAGCGGTATATTACTATATTGTTGTGGACATTTTGAACAAATGAATGTGCCGTGCCTATTTCCGTGCTATGTCACTGTTAGTTTTCTAATTGTTTGGTCAGGGAGTCCTCTATTGCCTTGAAACATGAACTCGAATACAACGCTTAAATTAATGAAGAATCAACGGATCATGGTTCCTTACTGTACTTGTTGCGGCAGGTGAATCAGGGCATGCGAATTGTACGTTGCTTCTGTGACATCAGACAGGATTCAGGACAGGTCTTTTTTGTACAGACCGAGCCCGTAAGGCGAGATTTGTGCAAAAAAACCGAGGTCCAATATTTCTCTGTTAAGACAGAGCAAGCGAGGCTAATAAAAAGTTTATTATACGGCATTTACACTTGAAACAAACAAGAAATGCATGATTTAAAATGCATATTAGTAGCATGGTACACATTTGGTCGAAGAAAACAAAAATTACCAATGTATTCCTCCCTTTCCATTTTAAAACCATTTGCAGATATCTTATTAATAACAAGCTAAATTATAATTTTCAAATTTTCTGTTAGTTTTGCTGTTTTGTTTTAAAATGTGTGCGTTTGTTTTTACGTAAGCCGGTCCATTACAGGAAAATAATGGATCGCTGAAAGTGCTTCTCAGCCAATCACAGTCCACCATTTCACCGGAAGTGATGCTTGCCATATAATAATCTTGTACAATTCTGAACCATTCATTCATCTAATGTTTCAGTCACATTGTCGTCACATAAAAATCTGATGCCAGTAACGAGGTTGTATGATCTCAATAAGATCTTACAGGATCTTATCGTAATATTAACTAAGATTGTTTTAGCTGAATCCTATTAAGATCTTACAGTGTCCTACAATTACAGGGTCCTAATATTAGCACCCTATAGGATCCTAACACAATCTTCCTAGGATCTTTCTACGATCTATCTCATCAACACTTGCCCTGACATATTGGCCAAGATACTGTCATTTAATACCCAACAATGACATCACTGTACCTTGACACTGACATGTACACTGGCATTGGCCTAATACTGATAATGGGCATAATAATAACAAATTATACTACCCTGACACAGCACTTGCCCTAACTGCCAATGGTCTTAAAAATGACTACTGTCAATGGTCCTTAATTCATGCAGCAACACTGTCCTAGCTTGCCCTAGCTGACACTGGCTCTAAAGGCCCATTTACACGGTACGATTAGTTGTATACGATTCGTACCCTGGCGTATGTGATCGAATAAACACGCGTACAAACGTCACATTTCAAATTTCGCCATTAGCGAATGAGCAATAACGTGGCATTAGCACTCGTTTTCATTCGTCAGAATGACAATCGTATACAACTAATCGTATCGTGTAAATGGGCGTTAACATACACTGCATATGCACAGTACTGACAATGACACTACCTGCATACTGACATTACCCACATACAGTATTTATCATGACAATGACACTGAGAATTGACCAGCTAATAATGACAAAGTTAATGTCCACTGACATGCAGTGACTGGTCCTAACAATGACAGCACTGCTCTGATATTGACACTTGCCTTGTCACATGGTCGTACCACAGAATAAAGATCAGTAACAGAAGGGCCACTCAGCGGTGCAACGCGTCCTCGTTTTTTATGCAAAAATATGCAGTTTACTGGCCAGAAGGCGGAGCAGCCAGCTTTACAGCGTGTTTATTGGCCAGAAAATGTCATTGACTGGCCAGAAAATGTCATTGACTGGCCAACATGCGTAATGCGCAAGGACAGAAACTTCAAAGCTTCCGACGTAAGTGGTCCTTCTGTATGGATCTTTATTATGTGGTCTTACAAGACTTGCTGGCCATGACATTGACACTCAGACACTGGACTTTGAAAGTGTCTTGCCTGGTAACTTACATTATTTTCATTTAACCATGCACACATTGCTTCAGCTTCACCATCACTTTTAACAAAAGGTATTCCAAGTAATCGCAACATTTCACAACACTGGAAATACAAAAAACATGCAGTTAGTAGTACAGACAAATGATGTATTATAACATGTCTTTACATATTAGTCACTAAATATATATATATATATATATATATATATATATATATATATATATATATATATATATATATATATATATATATATATATATATATATATATATAT